TCCACAGTACGAAGTGGATGCCGCGTTTTTATCCACGGTCTGCCTCTCCGCTGGTAGGCACCCACTTCAAGAAGTTCACCTTGGGCACGGTGACGCCGCGCCTGGGCCCCATCGAGCTGGTGAAGCGGGAGGCGCGGCTGGCCGGCTGGCCGGCGGGCGAAAGGGAGGCGGAGCCGTGGGTTTTTTTTTTTTTTTTTTTTTTTTTTTTTTTTTTTTTTTTTTTTTTTCCGACTTGGGGATTCCTTGTAGAACACCATTTTAATACCGGGTTTTGATTGTGGCTCAAAAGGGTGGCCCAGTTGTAGCCATGGGAGGGGGTGGTTCCTTAGAGGTGGTTCACCACCCATTCTAGAGGTGGTTCCTTAAGATTCTAGGGGTAAGTGGTCAATCACCGATTCATCAGTTCAAAAGAGTCACGCCTGCAAAAAGTGGTCAGATTCCAACCACATTTGGGTATGGGTCAAAATTAAACCACCAGGAATCGGACAGCAGGTTTTGGTCCATGGTGCCACTTACTAGGGTTCCATTTGGGGTACCTATTTTTGACCCACAGCCATTTCACCCAGAAAAACAGCCCCATACTAATAAACTGGGGGTTCCTGGTAGCCTTGGGGTTTCCTTGTAAAACACCAACATGGGTGCCCACTTATGGCCATGGGTGTAGTGGGCGCAAATGACTTGGGACTCATGGGGTCAAGGGGATAGATGCAAGTCATCTGCACCCAGTACATAATTTCATTCCATGGGTATAACCTACTTACCTGCAAGTTCCGTCCAAGTGGGTCCAAAGCACCAGGGGAAATGGGCGCTTTCTGAAGAGAAAGATGAGTCAACCCTGAGAGAACGCCAGGGGTGGGGGGTTGGGGAGGGGGGTTCGGGGGTGCTATGGACACTGCGCAAGATGGAGCCACGTGGACTTGGGACATATGGCCCATTCCTCTCGGACAGTGGACTCCCGGCCCAAGAAGGGGATGGCAACCTGGTTGGTCAGCAAAGGGCAGCCGACAAAAGAACAACAGACCCACACCAGAGACGTGTTTTTTGTTGAATTTGGATTGCGATCGCAACCTCTAGGTTGTTCTTTCTTCTTTAAGGGAGACAAACTGGACATCACCCTTTTGGTGGGGGGTTTCCCCCTCTCCTCATGCTTTCCGCCTTGTTGCTTGCACACCGATTTAAAATCCATGCGATTTGCTGGACTCTGAGGATATTACAACCATCTTCTTTACTTAAGGAGGCGATCGGTTACATCAGGCAAGCGGATAGTAACCCTGGTGGCTCACTTCGGGGCCTCATAGCAGGGGTAAATCGCTATATCCAGGGTTACTAACCAACCACTTGCTGAGAAGCCGCGTTGGTAAGCTGCAACGGTAACCTGGGTTATATCCCACGAATGAAGCCCCCCGTGAATGTTGGGTTCACCCTGGGGTGAAGAACCCCATATGGCCGATTCGAACCTCCAAGAACCCGTTTGCGTTGTTTTTCAGGACGACCTTTGGAGGAAGTAGCCAAAGAGCACCCACCAAAGATGCAATATGCTTAATTCTGGTCCAAATGTTTTTTGTTTTTTGGAACTCTCAATGGCCTTGGTAAATGGTTCAACCCCATCGAAACCAGTAGAACCCATCTGGTACCCAAACGAAGTGATCAAACGGACACCTATGCCTCCAGTTGACCAGAAGGGAAACCACCGAAAGACATGACCTTCACCACCAAGTGGGAAAAGTTATTCATGGTCATGTCGGGGCCCTGAATGGAATATTGATGAACCGCTCAAACAACAGCACACACACACACACAGCAAAAGCTGAGATGCTCCGGCCCAAGATGCCCTGTTCATCAACGCAATATAGAGTCCCATCTTTTTTAAGATGGTATCCCCATTGAGGCGGTAACCCTGGTAATTGTTCCCAAAATCAATCTACCGTGGTCATTTTGGGGCCGAACCGAATATTGATCAACCCCCTTTCGGCGTTTTTCAGTCAGGACGGCCTGAGGTTCCTTGTGTTTTCCTTAACCACCAAACAACAAGGGGAGAAAACCATGAGAAACCCAGATCCCCCCCTTTCGGCGGGTGTTTTGCTTGCTGGCTTTCAGCCGGGAACATGGAAGGCCCCTGTAAACCATCCATCCTATCTTTGGTGCATTTTGCTTGAATTAATGGTTCTTTAATTGAACCACTAAAAGTTAAACTTTTAGCAGGGGAGCAGAAAGCAACCGAGCTATGGTTTCCTTTCTTCGGGAATACCGAATGGTTCATTCCATTTCTCATTCCCTGCCGATCGCACCAGCAAGTTTAATCAGTGAGTACGGCCTGAGGTTCCTTCTGTTTTGCCTTTAACCACCGCACAAAATGGTTGGAGAAAACATGACCCAAATCCCTCCCCCCTCCCCCTCCCCCTCCCCCTCCCCTGCCCCTGCCTAAAGGGGGTTTCATCACTCAGAACCATGAGACACTCAAATCGCCCCCTTTAAGGCTTTCCTTGTTGTTGAATCAGTCTCCCCCCTCCCTCCTCCCCCTCCCCCCTTCCCCCCCCCCTCCCCCCCCGAAAAAACACCCCCCCCCTCCCCCTTCCCCTCCCCCCTCCGCCTAAAGGGGGGGCAGGTTTTCTGCAGAAAAAACGAGAGGATGCTGTGTTTTGATCACCCCGTCCCTCCCCCTCCCTCCCCCTCGGCCTTCCCCCACCCAAACAGGACGGCCTGAAGCACCCCAATCCCTCCCCCCTCCCCCTCCCCTCTCCCTCTTGGCGAGAAGAAAAGCTCGTTTTCCAGTTGGCTGCTCGGTCGGTTGGTGCGGTGTTAAATTTGTTTCCCCCAGCCCACGCGAGGACGGGCTGAAGCTGGTGCTGGGCGTGGACTACCAGTCCGACGTGGACATCGAGATCGCCGCCGTGGTGGCCTCCATCGGCATCAAGTCCATCGCCCTGCGCCTCGGCCTTCGATGGCTCGGGCGAGCGGCGAGCGAGTCCTCGGGGGTTTCACGAGGAAAAACGAGAAAAACGAGTGAGGAACGGAACCCAGGAGTTTTTTTGGGGGGGTTTAATTCTGGTCCAAATGGAGTTGAATTTTACTTTGGAACCGTGTGGAAGTATACGTGGGGGGTCAAAAGTTAAAGTCACCACTTTTGGTTGGGGGAACCAGCCATTACAATTCACTGCCAGGGTAACTTCCCCTGATGGAGATCGGATCATTTTTCAGGGCTCCGGACATTTTGGGCTCCCTTATACCGCTGTTGCCTCATTGCACAGCAGTCATTGGCATCTTGTTGCAATATGCGTAATGCTCGTAATGAGGGCTCCGTTGAGCAGTCGTCCAAAGAGGCAAGGAGACATGTGGGGGAGTAGGATATGTTTTCAAGAGACATACCTTTGGGACTATTCTGCTGGAAAAAGAATAGTTTTGTTTCTTGGCAGCTGCTTGGATTTCTTCTTCACCGGCTGGGTTAATGAATATTAAACCTTAGTCTCCTTCTGCCAGATGGTACTTGGGTGTGCGATTCGCCAAGTAAGTCGTAACGCACTTATGTGTCCTTTCAGTGGGGTTAACCTTGCTATAAGGGGTCGGACAACCCCAAGTGACTTACTTACACCCAAGCATGCTCCTTGACCCTTTGAGGCTTGGCGAAAGTTCGTTGCAATCAAGCCGTCACAAGGCGGAGCTTCTTGAAACATTAGTTCAAGTATGGCGGGTCGTGTCAAATTGTTGAAGCAGGGTGGTTTCTTTTTGATTTAGGGTACCCCAAATAAGCCCAAAGCCGAATGTGTTTGTCTCAAACAAATAGAGGACCACCAAAAATCCCTCTTCATAACCTAGTTCCCCCTACTTTTGGTCCCCTGGGTGGGTAATAGCCAGTGTCACCAACCAAAGGAACTGGGTTTGCCTCAAAGTGGGGGCCTACCCCCAAACAAATGAGAAAAGAGAATGGCTTCCTTAGGCTGCCCAAACCCCACCAAAAGTGGGTACCTTCCATGTGCTGAAGAATATGTTGTCCCCTGTTGATTTTAAAAGGGAACCCATCACCAATGGGCATATATTTTCTCGTTTTGTTCCAGGGGGCTGAAGCAAATGGACCCCAAAAAGAGACACCCCCGGAATTGGGAGAACACACAGCTCCACACTGTGGATGGTGTGGAACCATGGGAAACCATGGTTCGTTGGTATTTGCAGGAGAGTCATCAGTCCGTTTTTTTTTTAGGTGGTGCGGGGTGGATTTCGTCAAGCCACAGTACCTCTGAGTTTGAACATGATGCGCGCGCCAGCAAGTCAGGAAGGGCCAGCTGATGATCCACTTGGGTCCTCTCATCGAGGAAAGGGCTGCAAGGGCTGCAAGGGGTTGCTTCCCTTGTCTTCCTCTTTTTGGATGGCTGCTGGGTTGCTTCCCTCTTTTGGTTCCTCTTTTTTCATAGCTGCTGGGTTGCTTCCCTCTTTTTTTGTTCTCCTTGTTTTCTGCTGGCTGCAAGGGGTTGCTTCCCTTTCTTTTCTTTCTCCTTTCTTTTTGATGGGGCACAGTACCTTCCAGACTTCTCATGCGCATTTTTCCACTGGCGCAGAAAAATCGATGGATTCGATGGCTGGACTTCTGGGATCGGACTGGGTCCACTCTAAAGGACATGGTCTTTCAGGACTTAGTCAGGTTCCATGGCAACGTGGACAGGTATAGCCTTGGTTCTGACCTCGCAAATCTGGAGGACCTAGCAGGGAACCACCTGAAAAGTAATTAGTGCACATCCCCTGGTAGCATAGGTGTTTTTTGTTTTTTTTTTCAGAGATAAATGCGCCCTTAGAGCAGAAAGGGCCATCACCTTGACCCCTGCTTGGTAGCTTCCCTTGGGTTCATCCAGCTAGCTGCCCACTTAGTCCACCGTCGTGACCTAACTAGCTAGACCCTGCACAATTGGCGGACCGGCTTCCCGCAGTCTCCAGAGAGGACCGGCCGCGAGGCTCAAGTCGCGTGAAGCAGAGGGTGGGTTCGGATGTTGGGGTCCAAATATTTCGATAGGGTCGGCAGGGGGTTTGATCTTCACGGCTGCTGGCATGGTTTTTGCCTGCTTGCCTCGTTTTTTTTGGGGTTCTGGTTGATTGCTAGTAGCATCCCAAGCGTCGGACAGTTACCTTCTACCTGGGACGGCTTGCCACGGGACCCATCAACAACCCGCGGCTTTCGGCCAGCCGCTGACTCCGCCGCTGACTCCGCCGGCCGGTTTGAAGGGGTCCTTTCGAGGGGTTGATTCCGTTTCCATTCTTTTCAACCATCGCTCTTCTTTAAAAAAAGAACGGAAAAGAGCAGCTGTCTTTTTTTCCAGGGTTTGGGGTGGTTTGGTAGAAAGAGGGATGAATGGAAAATAAAGCCACCCAAAACCCTGGGGAAGAGATATCCCTAGATCCTCTAGAGAAAATTCCCTGGGATCTGGGAAAAAAAACAACCCAAGGGCTATCTTGGGTGGCTTTGGTAGAAAGAACGGACACGGAAGATCTCCCTAGATCCCTCACTTCCTGAGCTCATGAGCTTTAAAAACTTTTTGGGGCTGGACCATTTTGGTGGCAGATCTTAAAAAAATGGGCTGTTTTTGGGGCATCCAGCCAGTGAGATCCTCGGCTCTCCTTTCGCGCGAGGAGAGCCCGGTGGTGGGAGGTATGACGGCCTACTTCGTGGACCCCCCGGACCTGAGCCTCAAGTTCACCGGCATCGGCCGCTGGGCCGCAGGACTTATTTTTTCTTTCGGATGCCTCGCGGGAGGCCTGCATTGGCTGAAGAATAGGTCTTTAGTTTTTTCCCTTGTTGGTTTTAAAGGGAATCTATCACTACTGGAGTTTTTTTTTTTTTTTTCCCCCCCAGGGGGCTGAAGCAAATGGAAGCTGGGTCCGGGCAAAAACGGGGGAGGCCTGGATGCGCGCCGGCCACTTCGGTACCTGCAAGCCCCGGATTTCTGAAGAATTCTGGTTGATTCATTGGGGGGGGGCGCTCTACCTTTGAGCGGGAGCCGTCATTTTTGCTTTCGTGGGTGACACCGGTTTTTCCCCCAACGTCTGAAGGCTATGGTGGTTTGGGGCAGCTTACCTCTTAAAAACACCAAACTTTTCTCAACTTTTTGGGTAGCATGGGCTATATGTCTGTAAAAGATGGGAACTTCCCCAGGTTGCTTGGAGTTTTAAGGGGTAAGTGGGTGACACCGGTGTTTTTCCCCCAACGGCTGAAGGCTATGGGGTTGATAGGTTGATAGGCCCAGAAGGGGGATCAAGGGGTGGTTTGGGGCAGCTCGGGAGGCTTGAAACGGTGCCGGGATTAGCTGGGCTTGGAGTGGGAATGGAGTGAGAAACTCCTGGCTGATTCATGGGGTGCACTGGGTGCACTAGGGGCAGCTTCACTTTGACTGTGGGGTGACACCCCCCCCTTTAAGTAGGACGGGTTTGTGAACATTCGGCGGCGGCCGATTGTCCATGTTGGGTGGTCCTGGTTTCAGGAGTATAGTAAGGCCTATAGGCGGAAGTTGGTTGAGCGCGCCAACTTGTGTGGGAACCCCTCAAACGTGGCTGGAGGACATAATTCCTCACCCAATTGGAGTTGGACCCCCTGGCAAAAAAATCCAAGCCCATTCCTTCGAGCCCGAAGGAGGTTCACCCGAGAAGGACCCGAAACTTGTCAACCAAGAGTCAGGAGTTTCAACACCCGCACAATGAGAATTTCTCGTGGAGGTATGCAGCTAAGACTCTTTTCTGCCAAAGAAGGTCTTACCATGGTACTGGATTCCTCTAGGTAATGGGGTTCCTTACTGAGTATGAAGTCAACACTTGTGAAACAAACAATGCGTTGCAAAGGGAGCAGTCCCTTTGTCACTTGTCAGCCGGAAGAGGCACGTGCAAAGTGGATTCCTGTTGAAGAAACGAAAACCGTACATTGCCAACCGCATTCTGTGGATGGTTGCAAACCCATACATGCCAACAAACAGTGATTCCCATGGTTTCAAACTGGTGCAGGATTTCGTTCATGCACAGTATTTTGTTGATGAACAGAGCATCTTGGGGCGTGCTTGTTTGAGGGTACCACTTTTGGGAGCAAGAATGCCCAGCTTTGTTTTTGGCAAGCTTGCTGCCGGCTTGAGAAGAACCTAGCTTGCTGCCTACTGTTCCTAAAGCCTCCGAAAAAAAAGCCCTCAGGATGGTTGCCTCTCAAGACCCCCAAGAGGTCACTCTCAACCCTTGGGCGCTTCTATGACACTGCATGGTCAAATAGTTGCAAGTCTACTCTTTGGCGCATTTTGCCAAGGGTCTGTTAGGACTGAATAACTTTTTGCCAACTCATTCGGGTTTTCCGTACTAAACCACTAAAGGTTAAACTTTTAGCAGGGGAGCAGAAAGCAACCGAGTACTGCGTGTACAAACTTATGCCCCTTGCTCACGGAACTGCAATCGCCCTGCATTTCAACATGCAGTGCTGCATGGCCTTTGGCCAGCTAAACGGCCTGACGCGGAATGCGCTTGAAAGCACGTGACAGCCACGCAAATGCCTAGATGCGTGCTGCGCAAGTGGCCTACCAGAAAACGTAATAAAACTGGTTTTCCGCCAAACAACGCCCCCCAAAAGAAGACACACACACACACAGGCACACACAACCCACACACACACAAAACGTCATTCCTTTCGGTCTTCTTCAACAAAGCACCCAAAAGAAAACACACACACACACAGAGCACACCCATTTTCCAAGTTCCCGCGCGGTCGCTGCTTTTGGGTCTTCTTCGCTCCGCTTGCCTTCGGGCGAGCTTTGCTTTTGAGGCCAGGTGGCCCAGTTCCCCGGCATCGCCGGGATGATCCGCGGGCAGATCAGCGCGGCCATCAGCAACGCGGTGGTGCTGCCCAACGTGGTCGCGGCGCCTTCGAATCGGGAAATGGGAAGAATCGGCGAGCGAAGATCTTTGCGGTTTTGAGATGGGAAGAAGCCGTCCCCGGGTGTTTCCCCTGGCTAGGTCCCCCCAGCTAGGTGCCCTTTCTCGCCAACTTTTTTGGGGGAGGGTTCCCCTACTAAAATAGACAAAAAAGAGAAACAGCTGGTACCATAGGTGTGCTTTTGGGCTGTTTTGGCTGAGAAATAGAGGGCCCTGGTTTACATGCTGGTTTAATTATCTACCTTTGGAAGAGACGTTACCAGCGCGTTGTTTTTTGTTTTTTGTTCTTTTTTCTCCGCAGCTTGTCCGGGGGACCCAGTGTTGTTGGGGATACCCACTGTGGGTAAACGGGGTATAACCATAGGTGTCCTTTTTGGTTGTTTTGGCTGAGAAATAGAGGGCGATTCCTGGTTTACCTGGTGGTTTAATCATCTACCAGGGCCATCTGCTTCCCCTAAAAGGACACCTATGGAAGAGACGTGATCCTATGAGACCAGTGCGTTTTTTTTTTTTTTTTCCCCGCCGCAGCTTGTCCGGGGGGATACCACCTGGGTGTGTCCTTTGTGGGATCCTTTGAGACCAGTGCGGTTTTCTGCAGCTTCTTCAAACAAATGATCCGAAAGGCGGGGGCGAGCACCCACATCCTTCTACGCATGAGCCCTTTGGGGATTGCGTCATCCCCCACCTCCAAGGAGTTTCTTGACTCGCTACTCCAGTTTGCCGGACCCACCAAGCTCATCCGACATGAAATCCAGAGTTGGATATTTTTGGTTCTGAGGGATTTGGACCCCCCCCCCGCAAGTTGCCTTGGGGCAAGCTCACAAGATCATGCACCTGAGATCCATGGGAGATTCGGTGGGGAGGGATTTAGAGCCCTCCCAAAGGAACTGGTCCCTTTGGACCAAAGAAGAACTTTTGGTCCCAACCCAAAAAGGGATGAGTTCTGACGAGGAGATGCTGGTGTTTCCTACAAGCTGGGGCCTGTCGCCTTTTGGTGATGTGGGAGATATGCGCAAAGAAGACCACTCCTCCATCTTTCAGTACCTCAAACCAACTTTTGCAGGGGGGAACATTCGACATTTGCACTCCCAAAATGTCGCTCAGCAGAGGTTCCAAGTCTCCTTTGGGTGTTAGAATGCATAGGCTCCAAGGGGCCAAGCGGCGAACAACATGCTCTGACTTAAATGGTTCTACCACCCCCCCCCTCCCCAAAACGGCGCAACGTCTTTTTCTTTCGGTTTCCCTTTAAAACCAGCAAAACAAGGGGTACCCTCAAGAAGACAATCCGATATGACTTTACAGGGGAATCGAATCATTCAAGGCTTCCTTAGGAATTGCAGGATTTGGCCATCCATATTGTGCCTGCACCACCTTTCAGAAACCCTGGGTTCTGATTTGATTCTCCAACATAAATACCAACCAACCTTATGGTTTCAACTATGGCACTATGGATTCATTTGGTGGTGTTCGCCCATCACCTGCACCACCTAAGACACCCTGTGATGCTCGTGCAAACACCAACAAACAATGGTTCAACCGTGGTGTCATTTCGTGGTGCGATTTCTGGATTTCGCAACCATCCACAGTATCAGTTGGTGATTTCACCAGGGTTGCCAACCACTGACGTTTTTTGCCCCAAGTGGCTCGTGCACGGAGCACCCCCCCTACCCCCCCCTAGCCCCTCTGCCCCCCCTACTCCTACACCCCCCACCCCCCACCCCCCACCCCCCACACCACACCCGACACCCCCTACCCCCCCCCCCGACTGAGGTGCCGCTGGGCACCCCGGAGCAGGGCGTGGACCTGGCGCGGCTGAAGAAGCCCACGCCCCTGGCGGTGCTCAGAGCTGCTCGGCCCGAGCGCCGCCCGGGGATCGGAGATCGGCGCGTGGGAGATCGTGCGAGGTGACAAAAGACGGGCCTTTTTTGTAAGCATTGGGTTTAGGGTGTTAAATAAAAGGACAAAAAGCAAGCCAAATGTAGAGAATCAACTGAATGACAGTCTTTCTTTTTGGAGTTGATGCTTCACTGTTTGGTGTTTGTTTTAGGGAAGCCAAAAGGAACGCCACCGTTTTTATTTGGGGGGGAGGGAGTCCGGCCTTAAAACAGACACACCCATAGTCTGCATGTGCGCAGTGGACCAAAATATACAAAAGAGGAGGGGGTTGAAAGAGCAATTGTTGGTGTAACTGGAGTCGCCGATCCGAAATATGTTGCATTTTGCGGATCGACAAAATGCTTGAATTTGAAAGAGAGTCAGCTGTGGGCCAAGACACCCAAAGACTTTCAACCCCTGGTTGTCAGTCCTTACAGAGGATCAGAGGCGAGTCCTCCGAGTCTTTAAGCAACTATAAGCAGAAACACTGAAGCAGCATTTGGACGACTTAGTTTGTCTCTCTTGGCCTTTAGGCTTCATTTCTGTTCCCTTTTAGGCAGCTAAAGTTTTCCCTTTTTGCAGGGGTTCTGCGACTCGCGATTTACCATGGGTAAGGTCCATGGCTGGGTGTTGGCACCTTAGCCTCTTAGACCTTTTGGAATCAAGGTGAGCCTCAATCAAAGCCCACGGGATAGTCCGAGCCATAGGTTCGGGAAGGGTGATTCTTGACTGTGGCACCCGGAGGGTCCATTGAAGAGCACATTGGTCTTCGAGGTACGCAGATGCCTTCTGTTAATTGTAAACGCTGCGCGCTGCCCGCCTCGTCCTGTGCGTGAAATGGACATTCTCTTGAGTCAACGAAACCTGGTACCCTTCCTCCCACGAGTTCGCCTCGGCCCCAAGAGGGCCAAGCGCTCAAATCTCGTTTCCCAAACTCACCCAGATCTGGCTGGCCCGGGGCTTGTTGGCGTCCAGGGGCCCATCTGAGACACTGGGCCGGGCCCGAGGCTAGGGTTGGGCTGGGCTTGTTTTGCCGTTGCAGCCGGTGTGGGCCTGGGTTTGCGTTTTTGGTTTGCCCCAAGCAACGCCGCCCCCCACCAACCAACCCAAGCAAGGCCCAGCCCAGCCCGCCCTGTCTGCTGGCTCCATGACTGACATCAATTGGTCCAACGACGCCAGAACCTGTCCCTGCCTCAATCGCCACTTGACCAGCTCTGCTGCTTGCAGTCGAACCCTTCGAGCCGTTGGGCGCTTCCTCGAGACGCGGACATGTGGAAGAAACGATTCGACAGGGAGATCACCGTGGCTGCAGGGGTCACGATCCTACTTCGGGGGTTGGATGATTGGCCTAGGCTTTTTTGGGCCCTCAACATGTGCTGTGTTGAGTGGTCGGGGTCCTCATTGGAGAACCTGGTCTGCCTTGGAGTCAAGAGCCTTCGTATACCAGGGAAAAAGTAGAGATGTTCTTCCTGCGAGGAGGTCTACCAAGAAAATTCCATGACAAAAAAATAAAAAGCTTCAAGAGGTCTAGCAAGTAGAATCCGTGGAAAAGAATTTCAATCGAGCCTCTTGCCACACATGGGTCTGGCTTTCTTGCCTCAGCTGTGCACGTTTCTGGTTGGGTTTCTTGCGGCTGTGCCCCAGAGAGATGCGCTCGTGCATATCAACATGAGGTGGATTGCCGCAAAGGTACGACCCAGGCTGGGCCACATAGGTATCTTGCCTTCAAGTGTATATTTTGGGTGCTGAAGTAGACTCCTCATTGTCCCGGGCTTTTTGAAAAGAACTCTCTATATGACGATTTTGATAAACAAAATAAACAATATATTTTTTTTATAAAATAATAATGATAAATAAACAAACACATTGGTTTCATACAAAACCCGAAAACATGGGCTTTGTACAGAAGAAACCCAATTTGGGTTTTACAGAGACATCATTTTTTGGTTTGGTTGCACTCTACCCGCTGCTTTCGAGGCGACGGCGCTGCGGGGCAAGGAGCTGGCGGCGCTGGATTGGAACGTCATGAGCAAGGCCACCAGCGACCCCTACGTGCGCCTTGGGCATGCGTAGCGAGAGAAACACGGTGCGGATGGTCCGAGTCCCCTTTTCTGACTCGATTCCCCGGTAAATATCAACAAAAATCAATGGTTCGACCATGGTTTCTTAGGTGGTGCGCCTTTGGCACGAGCGAAAGAAAGAAGAACGAGAAAGCCGGGTGTGAAAAAGCATGGGTTCCCTCCGGTTTCACTTCTAGTCAAGATTCCAAAAGGTGCTTTTGACTTTGTTGAATCTAGGTCCCCCAGCTAGGTGCTAACTTTCTCACCCTTTTTTGGTTGGGAGGGTTCTCCAACAACCCATCCTCCCTCCTCCTCCTCCTCCTCCTTCTCCTCCTTCACATAGGTGTTCCTTTTTCAAGGTTAGTTTGGGAATGAAGTAGATGGGTTCCACTGGTTTGGATTTACCAACCATTTCTCAGGGAAACGCGACTATTGTACCAAAAGGGCAGCTATGAGTGCATTCCGGAGGGCCCTCCTACTGGATCCGATTCAGCCGAAGGTCGCATTTGATTTCTCCGATAGCTTGTCTCCAAAGAAAAGGGCTTCCCCCTACCGGCAGGGGGTTCCTTTTTGGCTTCCATTTCAAACCCACCAGAAAGTTCACAAAGATGAGCCATCTCCGGTTTTGTGGGTCGCTTGAAAAAGGGGGACCCCCAAAAGAGGCTTGAGGTTTTCCTTTTATTTTTTATTTATTTGTTTTTTTCAACACCAACCAAAAGAGGCTTTAGGTTTTCCTTTCATTCGTTTCTTTTTTAACACCAGCCAAAAGAGGCTTCCCCTCAAACCGACTTTGCCACCCATCTCGTGCCATGTAACCCAACCGACCAAGGGTTCCCCCCGAACAAAAGTGCCGAGCCACTCATCTCCAGTTGCTCCAGTAAGACGGTTCCCCTAGAAAAGACTTTGCTGTTTTGTGCCAACCAACAGAGGGCCCCCCCCCAAAAAAAAAGGGGCCGAGCCACCCATCTCCAGTTACTCCCTCTGTTGCCCAGTGGCGCCTTTTCTTTGTTTTTTTTGGGGAAGGGTTCCCCTTTAAACCCAACCCACCAAAAAAGGATGCCCTTTTTCTCTCAGACGCCACTGGGCGTCTGAGCTCCAGTGTTGTGCGCTTTTGAGATCTGAGGGTGATCTCTGTGGCCAACGACAAGTTTCAGAGCAGCACCATCAAGGCCAACTGCAACCCGGAGTGGACCGCCGACAACACCCACGACTTTGTGGCCGGATCGATCCGGGGAGAGGAAACCAACATTGGCACAGGTGTATATGAAGGTGGCATTTAGTTGCTTTTGTTTGTTTGTTTGTTATTGTGGTGGTCGTGGCGGTCGTGGCGGTCGTGGCGGTCGTGGCGGTCGTGGCGGTCGTGGTGGTCGTGGTGTTCGTGGTGGTCGTGGTCATCGTCATTGTGGTCCCTGCGGTTCCTGTTCACGTTCTTGTTCTGGCTCTGGCCTCTTTTCTCGCTCTGCTTGATGTGTCTGAGTGAGTGTGTGTGTGTGTGTGTGTGCGCGCACGCGTGTGTAAGGTCTCGGTTCTGACTGCGATGCAGGTTCCGCTTTGAAGGAGCAAGTTCAATCCCATGCGAGTGCCACTCAGGAAGAGTCCAACACGGCTCGTGTAGGCTGTTCGGCCAAGTTAGCAAGCTGCCGGCGACCTAGGACAAAAACTGATAACCCATTCAGAAGTCCTCCTAAGTGGGGTTAACCTTGTCAGCGGGTTATAAACCAGTTGCTAACTTAGCGAATCGAGCATCCAAGTAGCAGTCCCTTAAGTTCTGAAAACACCATTTCCTTCAGGGAGGCGAACAGGCACACAGGAACTTGTAGGGAATGGGCATCATTGACATGCGCATGAGTTTCACCTCAAAAGTGCTCGGTGCAGTCCCATGGAATCTCGATGTCCACCAAACGGATCCAGGACCCATTTCACTTGGGCCATTCTTTTGAGTGTGTGTGGTTGTTTCCCTTTAACCCACCACTTAGGGGGTGACTTGGATCATGGTAAAATGAGGCCAGTTTCGCGTCACGGAAGTTCGCGCAATCCACCGGTCGGGCGTCGGACATCTTCCGCTGCGAGCGGTCGCCAAAAGCCGCCGGACATGTTCCGATCCGAGCCCTGGGAAAGGAGCGGAAGCTAGTTGTGGCCATGGAATCGGCCTCCCAGATCTCAGGTGGATGCACACAAACCCCCAAGGAAATATCCACCAAAGAGTCCCAAATCAAAATAAATCAGAACCGGGTAGGTCCTCTCGGAGATCCAGTTCTTACTTCAGGTTTGGGCATGTGTCTTGGTTGAGGGGACCCCCCGAAACGGCTTTGGTTTGGCTTTTGGCGTCCCTTCCTTTAACCACCACCATTACCCGGTCCCGAGCTGTTGCTTTTGTGCAGGTGTTTGACAGCGACCAGCACGTGTGGATCGAGGTCTTCGATGAGGCTCTCGGGGTTTGAAAAGGGATGGATGGCCATCACGTCGGCGGTTCGAAGGTCCATGTTGAGTGCTTGGATGTTCGATTCGCCAGGTTAGTGAGGGGTTAGCCACTTAGGTTGGCCACTTGGCGGGGGGGGCCCTGGACCCCTTGATACTTGGGTGGTTGATTCGCCAAGTTAGTCTGTGGTGACAGCCACTCGGGGTAATTATGACCCCCTAATAACAAGGTGAACCCCAGTTAGGAGACGTATCAGTGGGTTATATCCTAGGCTACCGACAACTTACATACTTGGCCGAACTCCCGAGAGATTCTAAACAGGCGTCCCCGGTCTCCAAAATGGGTTGGAATGTTGACCTCAGATGAATAACTCCGTTCTAACCCCGGGGGGTCACCCGGGCAAGTCGTGAACTTTTTCGCTAAAAGGAGGCATCCCCCATCAATCCACCAGGGCGTCTATGAGCCCTTGCTGGGTTTACTGGGGTTCACTGGATCGGTTTTTTCCATCCCAGATCCCAGTTCCAGCGGGCAGTATTGATCAAGTTGCTTCGGGAGCGGTTCGGCCAGCAGGAGTCCTGGTCAGTGGCGGAAGTTCGTTTTCCCTTGTGGTGAGTTCACCTCCAAAGTTGCAAACCCCCCAAACGATGTGAAGCTCCGAAGCTCCCTCCCCCCCCCCCCCCGCAAGAAAAAGTGAAAGAAAGGCGAGTCCCCTCAAAAATGGAGACACCCCCAACACATGGAGAACCCCCCCCCCCAAAAAGAAGAAGAAGAAGAAGAAGAAGAAGAAGAAGAAGAAGAGGAAGAAGAAGAAGAAGAAGAAGCAGACACCCTCAAAATGGAGAACCCCCAAAAAGGTCCCGGTGTTTTCTTCTTACCATCACTCAATGAGGTCGACGTTTATTCATTTTTTAACCCCCTGGACAAGACCCACGGACCTTCATTTCTCTGGCGAACTCGGCTGTGCGGCTCGCTCCGACTCAGAGCTGAGCTTCCATTTGCTTAAGGATATTTATTATTATTATTATTATTAGTATGATTTTCCCTTGTTGGTTTTAAAGGGAATCTATCACTACTGGACATATGTGTTTTTTTTTTCCCGGCGTATGAGCAAATGGAAGTGAGGACAAGATGAGCAGCTCGGACTTCATCGGCAAGGCCCCGAAGCTGAAAGCCTCCTCCGCCAAGGAGCGCCAGGGCCTTCGGAGTCTGCAGCTCTCAGCGCCCTCGGCGGAAGGGCGGGGGAAACACGTCGAGACGAAGTCGTTCGAAGACGCGGCGGCGAGCGGGCGGCTGGAAGTGGGGGGGGTGTCAATTTACGGAAAATTCCTGAAAAATGATCACTTTTTGAGGGGGACAGGGGTCAACATTAGGGGTCCTGTTAACTACTAAATGCAAATGGGGAGGGGTGTCCTTTTAACTACCAAAACCTTCCAAATAAAAAAGATCGGACAATTGGGGGTTTTACTCGGGGGGTTTGGGAGCAGCTCCAAAATCGCGTTGGTTTGGCTTTTGGTTTGCTTTTGGCCAATCAAAAGGGAGCCATTTTGAGAAGCTCAGGGAAGGGGGGGGGGGTCGTCACTCACTTAGCCCCTTGAGACCTCAAGGAGTTGTCCTTGGCTTATCTTGGGCTCCGGGGACAGTCCCCCTAGCCAGCGCCCCTAGGTCCATGAGAAAGGAAGTTGCACTATGGGAGTTGGTGAACATGGACCCCTTGCCCCAGTTCCTTTTTTCAGCGCAACGCACGCCTCAAAATGAGATTCGAGTTTCATTTGCGATCTGGGTGTGCCTTTGTTTTGAGGCTACGCTTTTTTGGGTTGGGTTGAAGGGACAGCCAAAAGGACACCAACCATATCCGCGGGTTCCAAACTCTTTTGAGACATGCCCATTTCTTTAATTGGCTTGGTGCCGGTGTCCCTTACCTGCAAAAAGCACCCCACATCCAGCGCCTCGAGAGGTGGTGGGACTCGGAGTCGCGAGCCGCGAGTCGGACTCGGAGCTGCCCCCGAGATTCCGATTCGAAGGGCCATTGGCTTAAGAATCATTCGGGTGTGGCTCAAGATTAAACGATCGGAGGGGCAAACCGCAGGTTTTGGTCCATATGTCCACTTACCAGGGCCACCCATTTTGGGACCGGTTTTTTGGGCCACAGCCATTTGTTGCTTTTCCCCCCGGTCGGTTTGATTCAACCAGAGCTTCCATTTGCTTATTTTGTTTGCTATTTTCTCATGTTGGTTTTGCAGGGACATGCTCGCTACTGGATTTGTTTCAGATTTTTGTTGCCAGGGGGCGGATCCAGCGAATGGAAGGGAAGGGCCCTTTGGGGAGGTGCTACCAGGTTTCTGGGGGCAAGGCCTTGTAGAACTAAACAAGCATCTGAGTGGAAGCAAACATCATGATTTTGGTTATTCCAAGGGTTTTCCTATTACACCCTGGGACTACGGTTTCTGGGGCATCACCCTATTTTCTAGCCTATTCCAGATGAAACCTGGTTATGTTACGGTTTACTTGTGTTTCTCCTCCGTTTTGGTTGAGATTGAAGGGACCCCCCACAGACGAGTGGTGTCTATCGCTCTCATGAATGAGACGGGCTTGCGAGCCTGGATGCTACTCCTTGCCCATGCGGCCTAGCTGCCACAAAGGCTGCAACCTGGCTACCAAGATGGGTGCCAACCGGCAGCACCCGAAAGGGGATGGGCCAACATTTTCCTCAACTTGCCCCCGCCGTTTGGGATGCAGGTCATCAGGTAGCTCTTGAATGGTTTGGATTGGTGGGATTTGAGCCCCTTGGAGGGTAAATGGCATTCAGCCATCCAGAGAGCACCTCCAATGACATTGCGCGCCCAACTTGAATAGGTTTGTCGCAAAGTGGGTGTCGTGTTTCGGTTCCCCTCAAACACAAACAGCCCCAAAACGGGAGGCTTTGTCTCAAAAGAGCGGACTCTCCAAAATGGTGATGTCCTTTGCTTTATCTCTAAACCAACCTCAAAAACGGGCACTCCCCAAAAAAGGCGGTGGCTCAAAAATTGGTACCCAACCGGCACCTTGGTAAATGGAGCCAGGGACTACAACCTGCGTAACCCTAGCTCTCTAATTCTGAGCCACACCCAAAAGACAGACACACCAACGCCGAGAATTTGTCTCTGAACCAACCCCAAAAACTGGTATCCCCCCGAAGAAAAAAACAAACAACTGAGCAAACAGACACACAGCGCCAGAAAAAGCGGAAATGGTCCAAAGCCGAGAACCCGGACAAGCCAGAGCAGAACTGCGGCACTCTGGAGATGGATTTCCAGTGGCTCAGTTTGCTGCCCTTCGCTCCCGCGGAGGCCGCATTTTTGGTGCACGGGCTCCGGTGTGTCTTTTCATGATGGGTATGTGTCACCAGAAGGGCACGAAAAGGACACCAACCGTTTCAAGGGGGTCTCGATTTTGGAGAAGCGCTTAATTAATTAATATATATATATATGTGTGTTTGTTCATAATAAACATGTCTATATATATATATATGTTTGTTCATATATATATATAGCCCTAAACAAGTAGGACCTCTTCAGGTGGCTCCCTGGTAAATTTCATTGACATGTGTCAACATAGGGATTTGGACCGCCCCCGCAAGATAGTGGGTTTGGCTGTCGGTGTCCCTGCAAGCCGAGCTGAAAAGGGGTACCCTCGAAAAACACAAACATCCATATGTTACCGCTACTTGGATGTGCGACTCGACAGGTTAGCAAGTGATTGGCCACTTAACCCCACCTTCACGGCGGACGTTTTTACGTGGGCTGCAACCGAAGGGTTACTGACAGCTTACGAGCTTGGCGAATCGAACACCCAAGTAGCCCTCAGAGACGGCTTGACCCCAGAAGCAAACCCTAGCTAACCAGCCTGTTGTGGGTTTATAATCCAGAGGGTCCCTTGGTATCTTCTAAGGAGGTACTTGGACCCCTTTTTACCCCCCAAAAGCCATCCTCAGGAGGTACTTGGACCCTCCGGGTAAGCTCAGTTACTCTAGTTTTCTGTCGTCCCCTCTAGTTGCCGTAGCAACCAACCCTTGTAGTACGCACGCCGCGCACACTGGACGCCAGTGTTTTGTTCATGTTTCAGAGTTCACCGGTTTGTGCAGTCGCATGTCCTGTTTGCAGACAGGAATCATGACGTCGTTTCTGTTCAGGCTCTGTGTTTGAAAATGTACGGGAAAAGCAATGCTACACCGAGCTCTTGGCAAGAAGATGGTGCGAACTCATTGCTTGGTGGCTCCCAGCCATTCGGTTCCTTAGCTTTTTAGCCTTGTGTTTAGTGGTAGTTTCCATTTAACCCACTAAAAGTTATTCCCTTTTGGCGGGGGATCTGAGGCCTGAGGCAGATTTTTTGATGTCTCTGAGCTCTGGAGGGCTGGAGGGTGACAGACCTGGAGCCGTGAGGAGCGTGGCTTTCACTTGGAGTGTTCGAGTGCGGTGCGGCGAGGGCGGCGAGGGCGACCACCTCCGTTTTGAGGTTCAGCGTGAATTTGCAGAAGCGTAGGCCGCACGTTGCTCCCCACTCGGAACTCTGCTGAAATGATGTTTCGTCTGAAGGTTCAGGAATCTGGCCCAGAATCAATTCAGCTTGGCAGTGAGTCAGACGGGGGTAAACCGTAGAATCCAAGATGCGTAGAAGAAAATACACCTTTGCGCGACATGATAAACAGGTATCAGTGTATACACAAACAAATCACCACATGCATACGTACATACATGCATGCATACATACATGCATACATGCATGCATGAATGCATACATTACATAGCATTACATTGCGCTACATTACATGACATTGCAGTGCAGTACATTACATTGCAATACAATGCATTACATTACATTCCTTTGCAATGCATTACAATACATTGCATTACACTGCCTTACATTGCATTGCATTACATTCCATTACATTACATTACATTACAATACATTACAATACATTGCATTGCATTACATTGCATTGCATTACATTACATTACATGACACACATACACATATACACATGTTGGTCACTGATGAGTTGGACATCAGAATCGAAGCGAAGATGCAGTTTGTAACCCTCATCCACCCACTTGACGTGCGCACGGATTCCGGCCAGGCGACGGGCTGCGTGGTGAGTGTGGAGGTGCGGTCGCTGACGCTGGGGCCGCTGGGGGGCAAGGGCAACGCGGGGGTGGAGAGCGCGGCGGTAAAGCTGACGCTGTGCGGCCAGGAGCGAGGGGCTGGGGCTGGGCTGAGGGGGGTTGACTGGAAGCATGCGTTTGGAGGAGGGAGAGGGGGGAGAGGGATGGGGTGAGGGATCCAGGGATTCATTTGATGATCCCTTCGCTTTCGGGGGGAAAGGGTTGCCAAGCAGGGTTCTTTTTTTGGTGCCCCAACAGGTTCCTCTTAGAACCATGGTTGCAGCCTGCTTACTTTGCGAGGCGGGGGGGGGGGCGGGGGGTGAGACAGGGGGGGGAGGGGGAGGAGGAGAGAGGGTGAGAGGGTGAGAGGGAGGGAGGGGTGAGCGGGCTTATTCGGGAGATCTTTTTCGCAAGATTTCCGAATGAACCCGAATCAAGAGTCTGTTATTGGGCCAGGGTCCTTTTTGGGGGTATTGGGTCCGGAAAGACTGGAGGGACATGAAGGACCCTCTTCAAGCGGGTTGTATTTTGTCGGATGGGCGAAAAGGCACGCCCTGCTTCAAGTCTTCTGAGTTGTCTCAAGCTGATTTCAAGTCCCTGTTGGAGCTTCCCCTTTGCCCATGGCAGACTTCCCCTTGGTTATTCTTCAACGTCCCTTTCCCCTTTGGGTGTCCCTGAGAAACCCAATGCTGTGTTGGTTTTTGGAAACCGCCCTTTGTTTGACGCCTGACTTAGTTTCCCTTAAGTCAGTCCAAGCTTCTGTCTTTTAGGTCCTGGTCTACCTTCCAAGTTCCAAGGTCTACCTTTTGACTCAGTTGTCCAAACCGACCTTTTGAGCGTTTGCTTTCTATCTTAGCCAAGGTCCCAAACGCTTAAGCTTGTATTTCTAGGCCCTTCGGGCAAGTGAGGTTGTGTTGACCCCGCATTTTGCAGAGCCCCTGGTTGATGTTGAACAGGTGTCCCCTTCCAGTTGGAATGTGGATGGGTTCACTAATCCCGGGCCAACATGATGTTCAGATCCGCTCAGGTGACTTAAAGCGAAGAATGCCTTGGCATATGGACCCTTCACTTGTGGATGTCGCTCCCATTTCCGGGTTGAAATCTTCAGATGCGTTGTGGCTTGGGTATGCCGATTGTAATTCGCTATAGTCTCAGACACCAGCAGGACGTTCTACAGGATGTCCACATTTTTTTTTTGTTCGGCTGGTTGGCCAGTTTCCTATTGAAATTCCTTCAGCCGGCTTCTATGATAAGAAACAAGTTGTCAACGTCCCACAAGGCAACTTTTGGCCGTATAGCCAGCCCATTAAATTCCTGGGTTCGATCCAAAGTGGGTGTCTTGGGTTTTGGACAAAAGTATCATGGATCGAGCGGCCAAGTTGCAACGTGCCGACAAATCGAGGGACCGAATGATAGAGCCATTTTTTGTGGTGAACGTTTGTCCGAGTCCCCCCATCTGAGACACCCTTTCTATTGGCTGGCTTGTGATGCAGGCAGCCAGAAGTTAGTGCCAGAGGCTCGAGCACATGTGAGGGTGGGAGAATAGGCCTGCCGGAAGTTCTTTGCGGCGATAATGTTCCTCTGCTTGCTTCTTGAAAGCTTCTTGATGTTCACCTTGAGAAGCCCCTTCTGAAGGAAGTGACCATGTCGAGGAGCAGGCTTTTAGGCAGCCCGTGGACCATGTTTGGTGTTCGGTCTGCCCTTTCTAGTGGACCTTCTAGCCCCCAAAATCCAAAATGTAGACCCTCTTCCGGTTCTGCGGAAGCCCAAAGTTCCGGCTGTTACACTGCGGCAACTGATCGAGTATGCCGAACCAGTGGACGTAGGAGAAGTGCACGCCAGTCACGGCGCCCCCGGCGCCGGCGCCATCCTCCCACTCAGTGGCCGAGACGCTGATGGAAGTGGCCAAGCGCCTCCGCCAATGCGAGCCGAAACCAAGCCCTCCCCCTTTTTTTGGAGACTGGGGGACTGCGGTAGTGCGCGTTTTTTCATTTTTTTTTTTGTCATTTTAATGCTTGATATCTTGAGCAAGTTGTGTGCCTGCTCTGCTGAAGAGCATTTGTAACTGCAAGCCTCAACGCAAAAAGCGCACTACCAGGGTCCTCTGTTCTGTTTTGTTGGGGAGGGTTGAAGACGGGGAGCAAAGGGGAACCTACGATTTTCTGGGTGCACCGGCAAATCCCTAGCCACAGCGCAGGAAAACGGGTATTCCTCTTTCTTGTTGGGGCGGGGATTGAAAAGGGGTGACACCTATTTTCAGAACCCAAATGTGGCCGAACGCCCAAGTAGGCAGTTACATGGGACGACCATTGGGGAACACTACTAAACATATATGATATTTTAACCGTCAATTCAACGGTATAAGTTTCCCATGATCATTCGGGGGCCTGGGTCTTCCCCTTAAAAAAGACACCCACATCACATGGACCCCTTTTTTGGGTTCCTGCTAATTTGTAGGGGAGTACCACCAAAGGCAGAAAATGCTTCGGTGTCTGGTTTCCGTTGTTCTTCTTGCAACCAGTGCCGTACCTTTTTTCCGTTTCCGATTGTTGGTGTTTTATTTTCGGACCCCTGTAGGCGTCCAAACTGCGTTGTTCAGTTTGGTTGAACATAACAACAGTCACTAGGTACTAGTTTGGCTACTAGTGGAGTCTCCACGAACCTTGACAAAGCTTTGTAAAAGTCGACCCTCCCATTTTGGGACTCGCTGCTTCTGGTCGCTGAGCATCAAGTTGGGTTGTTCCGGTCCCTCAAGATGGGTGCCCTTGTACCAATTGTTTTTGGGAGGGTTCCCTTACTAAAATAGACAGAAAGAAGGGCACCCTTATTCTAACCTCTCAAATCTGGAGGACCTAGGGGTCAAAAGTCAGAAGAGTTGAAAGGCCGTTTTCGGTTTGGACCCCTCGACCAGTTTTTCGCTGCAAGACGGCGTTTTTCTCTTTTTGGGGCCTGAGGCGTTGCAAGGCGAGGGGCCTGGATCAGGACGGCCGGGTCTGGGTGGCCCACGACCTGTGAACCGTACCTCAATCCTGGTGGTTTGGATTGGTGGTTTGGACCTTTGAACCTTGGCCAGTTTCACCTCAACCCTCAGGGCTCCTTAAAAGATCGATCTCCATTTTGCCCACCATTTGAAACATGCGGCTTTTTTTTCCACCAAAATAAAGGGAGACCAGCATTGACAAGTTGCAATGTTCAGGTGTACACCACCATTTGAAACATGTGGTTTTTTCCACACCAAAGTAAAGGGAAGCCAGGTATAATGCATCCGGATCCCTGCTGGTGGCTTGGATTTTGGAGCCCAGGGGCTCGAACCGTTCACTGCGAACCACGCGCCAGCCATGCGAACCTCCGGCAAGTTGTTGTTTGTGGACAGTTCCGGTGCCAAGTCCGTTCAAGAAACCACAAGCCAATGCGAACCACAAGTTGTGGACAATAATCGTTTTGTTTTTTCTTCTTTTTTCCCTAAGCTCAACTGTGCTTAAGGTAAAGTGTCTGGGCACGGAATGCCCGCAGCCCGTTGACCCGCGCCGTGCCAAGTGGCTTTTCATGTCTGCGAAGCTGCCGACCCCGCCCACCCCGCTTATTTTCGGAAGCGCGCAACAGCGCCCGTCGCAAAGTTTGTTTGAATTCCGTGGCTGGGAGAGTCAGCAGCAAGAAATTTCGCAAAGCAGGAGGTTGGAGATCCAGGTAACCTTCTGGCCTGCACATGTTGGATTCGTCCTGGAACCTTTGAACCTGATAGAAAAGATGGGTGTCCATTCCATTTGCTTTGGCTTTTTGGCTTTCCCGTGTTGGCTTTAATGCCTCTATCACTGGGAATATGTTGCTTCTTTCCGAATTTTTCGAGAACTGAAAGCGGTGAAAGGCTGAGAAGGCAAGACATGCAGGTACTTGCTGGGTGTGCAACCAACGTCAGGCAAATAAGTTAAAAACCATGGTTATAAGGGGACGAACACCCCAGTTACCCCACTTATACCCATGGTTATAACCGACGTTGGTTGAACTTTCCAAGGTAGTGGGCCTGGCATCACTTTCGGTTCGGAGCAGTTCTCAAGTGAGCCCCGGGCACCTTAAAGTGTCGCGGAGACTTTCTTGCAGACAACAAGGAGGACTTTTTATTTGGACAACCTTACCAGTGAAATGGGTGATTTGGGAGCCAAATTTCTGAAAGAAGGATTTCTAGAAAGAATGCGGGGCAAGCACACCCAGCGGATCCAGTTAAAGTTACCCACTATTCAATTGGGATTTTCATCTCTAGGTTTTTCATGACAGCTTCCCCTGGTCACCAACTGGGCCTTGCCTGGATGCAGAATTTTCTGAATGTTTGGAAAGAACGCGTCAGGATGCGATCGCCGAAATCTCGGGCCTCCCCAAGGAGGACGACGGGGGGGCTGGATTCGGCGTGCGGCGAAAGAGATCGGTCCTTGTAAGTCTGTTGTGGTTTCCAAGCTTGTATACTTTCCAACCCACTTAGGGGGACTTACAACCAGGGTGAACCCCACATTTACAGGGGACTAATGAGTGGCGTAGAACCGAACGGTTACCACCAACCAACTTACTTGGTAACGGACACTCAAGGAGGTTCCCTCATCCCTCATCTTGGTGGCTCCCAGCCATCCCCTTAGCCTTTGAGCTTCTTAGTGTTTAGAGGGGTTTTCCATTCAACTCACTCAAAATTATTCACTTTTAGCGGAGGAGCCGAAAACGGGCAGCACGCGGGAACGCCGTTTTGAGTCACGGCCCCAAAGGCTTAAGCCTTTGATTTCCACTGTCCGGGGCAAGTGAGACTTAAGGGCATATGGCCATGGGGCATAACCTATGGCTCCGCTCCATTTTGGGGTGGATGAACATCCATTTACCAGCTATTTTGATGTTCACCAGGGGTACATTGTTTTGACCCACAGCCATATATCGAGAGCCATGACCATGGATGGAGTCTTCGCCGTTTCTTTCCAGGCCCTTTGGGGCAAGTGATATTTTTCCCCATTAAGCCACCTCAGGAAAGCAGCAGACATTGGGAAACCGCTCATTTTAGGGGTCCAGAAGCCAGACGAGCCACCCTCAAAATGGTGTTTTTCTTTGTGGTGTCACTTGTCGGAAACCTTTTCGCAAGCCAAACAAAAAACACCTTTTAGCATACCCCCCCCACCCCAAACAAACCTTTTAGCAAGCCCAAAGAAAGGGGGAAACCGCCCCAACAAAACCACCGACCCAGTTGCCAGGATCTGGAAAAGGCCCTGGAGGCGGGAGACGCCTCCGCCCTCGCGAGCCGCGAGCTGCCGCCACTTGGCAGCTTGCAGCTTGCAGCCGGAGCTTCGGTCGAGTCCGGCAGCCGTTCGCTTTTTGGGCGCCCCCCCCGGCCGATGTTTCTCCTCCAAAATGTCAGGGGGGGGGGAAAAAGGGGGGGCTCGTCGTTTTGTTCTTTCCCAAATGCGGGGGGGGGGGGGAGAGGCTTGTCATTTTGGAGGCTACCCCGGTTTTTGTTTGGCGGGTCTCGGCCGTCCGGTGTTTTAGGTGTTTTTTCACAAAACGGGGACGATCTGTTGAAGAAAGAAGAGCAGAGCAAGGACTTTACCACATCGTCGTGTTGAAGAAAAGCGGGAGAGTATCCTTTATTTTTGTAGACAAAGCAGGTGCTTTTAGACGTAATGTCTTTCTTGGGGCATTTTGGGGTTGGGGGGTTGGTTTAAAGGAAGACCAGGGGGCCCGTTTGGAGGGTCCCTTCATCAAAGACACGCCCACATAGTGGAATTGTTATCCTGCTACCCTCAATTCCACCGGTTTGTTACCATGAATACCATGATCTTCTCATGACTCAAAAAGTCGTTTTGTCCTCCAGCCTCCAACCTGCTTGTTTAGCTTGTATTTTGGACCCCTGGAAGCCTACTCCAACCTCATCTGTTTGTTTCGCCCCCTCTTCCCCAGCTAATTTTACCTAGCCCCCTCGGCCCAAAAACAATCAAAAACCAGAGAGAAGCAAAAAACGCGCCAAACCACACGGGCGCGGGCCGTTTCGGGCCCCCTCGGCCCGGAGCGCCGACGGGTGGCTCCGCTGGGATCTGCTCCGAGGATCCACACGGCCTTCTACTTCTCGGTGCCCCGCACGGAGCTGGAGGCCCAGGAGCTGGCCATCTCCGCGGCTCGGTGCGAGAGCGAGAAGTGGGGCAAGGGCGGGGGGGGGGGGGGCAGGGGGGCTTGGCTTTTTCTTTTTTGGGTTTGTTTGTTTGTGTGTGTGTGTGTTTTGGGTTTTCTTCTTTTTTTGGGGGGGGGGAGAATCCGTGAGTCCAGAAGGGTGTGGCGCCATTTTGGGGGTGTCTGAGTCCTGAAAAGGACACCACAGCTTCCAGCTATTGGGGAAAGAAAGCAAAGGGGTCAGCTCAGATTGGAGGGTACCAGTTGGGACTAGCCGAAGCAGAAGCCGGAGGCAAACCACCCCAGCCCCCCAGTTGGATGGATGAAAGCCACTTTGAATCCTGGTTGATAAACCTTAAGCCTATGGAGCCATCGCAAGACACGTGAGAGACTCGTAAAATAGTTTCTATTTGCCAGCAGGCAGCGGAGAAGGTGAAAGTTGTAGTGAGCGAATCTGTCCCGTGCCACAGACAAAATATGCTCTTACTATGATGGACACTGGACAACTTGGGGTTTATCCCCCTCGTTTTGGTGGCTATGGTTTCCCGTCTGAAACGAAAGGGCCTTCCCCATTTGTCTTCAAGCAAACGGCCACGTGATCCCACCGTGGAAAGCAAGTCAACCTGGGCCTTCTTCTCCTTTTTTTGCCCAGCTTTCGCTTCCTTCATGCGGATTGCGAGTCTATGTGCTCTCTCGTGTGAATTTGGATGTTCTGCTTGGCGGCCCTCTGCTGACCTACCCTTTGACCTTTGTCACACATTCCCCCTTTGAAGTGTCCGATGTGCGTACTTGGATGCTAACCCGACGGGGTACTGGGTAACTCGGTTGGTCCCCTTATAACCATGGTTGTAGCCTACTTACCAAGTTGGTTGAGCATCCAAGCATGGAACTACCATTTTGGCATCTCAGGTGCAGAACAAGGACCCGACTAGCCACTCCCGCATAAGCGCTTGACTCCTATTTCGCTTGTAAACCCCTGATAATTTCGGTGAACGACTCAACACGCACCAGATCCTCTAAGTCGCCGCATCTCGCAAAGGCGGCGGACAAGGAAGAGAAGGTCTTTGCCGCTCGCTTGAAGTTTTTGCGGCTGAGGAGTCGGTGCGGTTTTCTGCTTCGCAAATTGGTGACTGAACTGGGTGGCCAACCTGCCATGGGTCATATCCTATGGCTCCATTTTGGGGATGAACACTCATGTACCACCGATTTTGATGTTCACCAGGCTTACAGGGTTTTGACCCACAGCCAACTTGCGGCTGGGGAAAGTTGCGAATTTTCCGGACCTCCTGGCCCGAAGCCGCCACATGTTTTAAGCCCAGACCTCCAGCGGAACCCCAGCGGAACCTCTTTTCAACCACTCGAACTCGGAGGAGGCTTCCCTTGAAATTCCGTTGAGAACAACACGAGTGTCCCTGTTCAGGGCTCCTTAAAAGATCTCCACCTTGCCCATTTGAAACATGTTGCTTTTTCAACACCCAAATAAAGGGAATCCACCATGTACAAGGCAATGTTCAGGTGTATAATGTAAGGATCCCTTTTTTTTTCTGGGACATCCAGAGATCTCAGGTTTTCAGATGATGCCAGAGAGTGGGGTGAGTTGGTAAGGCTTGTCCGACATGTTGGTTCTATGGGATGGTTCCCCCCCGGTCACCCCCCCCAGAAAAATAAATAACAATAAAGTAAACACCTGCCTCGCAACATGGGGTGGGGGCTTGCCGCCACCCAGCAGCCGAAGGCCACCTTGGGCCTCAGGCGAAGCGTTGCCGGAGGCGCAAAAACTTCCTGCAAGCGGTCCAACGGTTTGGCCCCCTTGTTTGTCCTTCCATCTGGGTTTGCCATCTGAGTGTGCCATCTGAGGAAACCATAAGGCAACCCACAGTTTGGGGGTGCCATATATATATATATATATATTATACACATACATATACACCCATCCGGTTCAGGCTGAAGGCTGCTGCTGCCGTGCTCGCCTTTCTCACGGCAACTTATAGGGGCCCAGGTTTTGCTTTCTTAGTGGTTCTCTGGCCTTATCCCTAGATTTCCCCTTGAAACGAACCCCAGGCAAAAGTCAAGGACACATTTGCTTTGGTTTTCCCCTGACTTCCCCCCCCCCCCAGTCAAGGAAACATTTCCCTTGATTTTCCTTGATTCCCCCAAGAAACATTTCCTTCGTTTTTTTTTTCCTCGATTTTCCCCCCAAAAGGCTTCCTTTTGGTGGCAACTGTCAAGCCCAGGCCACCGCGACTTTGAAGCTGGCGGAGCTGGTGGCAGGCAAGGCCCAGCACCTGGACAAGCTGCAGCTGGCAGGAGGCGCCAAAACCGAGTGCTTTGGGCCGGCGAGAAAAGCGGCCGGAAAGACCCATGCGCTCCTATAATTGGCTGTGGGTCAAACAAATGGTACCCAAAATGGCACCCTGGTAAATGGAACCAAAGACTAAAACCTGCGTAACCCTAGCTCTTTCATTTTGAGCCACGCCCAATTCCCTCTTTCGGGCTTAAACACCACCTTGGCTGAGTCTCCTTCCGGGGTGTTCGGAGGGTTTTGATTTTGAGCGGCGAGAAGCCGAAAGCCAACTGGGGCTCCTTCGGAGTTTTTCGGAGCCCTTCGCTAGATTCGCATGGGAGAGATTTTTCAGATACCCCGAATGCCGAATGCCCGAACGCCCGCCAAGCGCGGGGTCTGGAGGACGGGCCTTAGGAAGGTGGATAGCAGGGCCCTAGGAATCAGCCTTCGGGTGGGTGTTTGAACATTACCTGCTGTTAAGTTAAACCGGGTCTCCGTCTGGGGTGATGTTTGGCATCGCCTTGGGCCAAGTTTCCTGTTGTGGTGATGTTTGAAGGGGACATATCGGATTCGGCTCCTGCTGAGCTTTTCTCGCAAGTTCCAACGAAAGTACTCGGGCGTTCAACCAACTAAGTGAGTGATAACTCTGGTAAAAGTGCAACAAGTGAGGTGATCGTCCCCTTGCCATAGTTATAACCTGAGTGGCTTGAACACCCTACTTGGGGGCAGAGAAGGCGTACCGGAGTTGGGTTTTAAGATCAACGACCCAACAATAGGTGTGGCAACTCACGGATCTCCACTGGGGGATTGGGACGGGTTGGCACATGTTCCTGCCTTGGGTTGGTTTGGACAGGAAAGAACGAGAGCCCCTTTTTTGCATGGAAATCCACTGGGGGTCTGAGTACGTGTCGGCCTTGTCCTGTGAGCACTCTGCCATCTCAATAACCAGAGCAAGGGTTGGAAGTTAGTTTTGGGGCCTGTGGGGTGACCGAGCCATTTGCTTGTTTGGAACCTCCAAAAGTGGCGATCGTTTCAGTAGACACCACCAGTAAGTTGATCAACTTTTTGACTTGGGGAAGTTTCCAGCTTTGTCCCTGGTCCTTCAAGTTCCAACTTTTCTCATTCGTCAACCCTCGTGGCGATCGATCGTGTCTTCGGAGAGCAGCCGATCCCCAGCCAGCACGCCGCTCGAGAAACACCATCGGATCTGGCTGGAAAGGTATTTTAGCCGAGACCATGCAGCCCCTCTTTGCACTAGGAAGTACCGACCTTTTTGAGGATATAGAAGGTGTAATCACGTGCATATATACATGGCAGTGATCTTTTTGAGGGGTCTGTAACAGAGCCGCGGCAGACATTCGTTACAGACCTCGTTACAGACCTCTGCAACAAAACCAGATGGCTCGTTACACACCCCTCGATACACACCCTCGTTACACACCCTCGTTAAACGCCCTCGTTACACGCCCTCGTTACACACCTCAGATGAACAAACCGGCCAGTGACGTGACTGCCCTCTTTTTGCCGCAGCTTGGCTTGCGTTCAATAGCTGCAATCAAGTGCTTTGCTTTGCCTCGTTACAGACCTCGTTACATAGCCGTTACATACCTCGTTACAGACCAAACCCCCAGCCCGGGCCAGCGACTTGGCTTGCGTTGAATAGAGCTGCGGAGGCGTGCTTTGCGTGCTGCGCTTTGCTTTGCCTCGTTACAGACCTCGTTGCATAGACATAGCCGTTACATACCTCGCGACGGACCCAACCGCAGCCCGGGCCAGCGACCCCCTTTTTGCCGCGGCTTGGCTTGCGTTGAACAGCTGCAAGCAAGCTGGTGCTGCGGAGGCACGCTTTGCGTACCGTGCTTCGCTTTGCCTCGCCACAGACCTCGTTACATAGCCATTACATACCTCGTTGTGCTGCGCTACATTGTGCTACTGATACTGCTTGTCAGCAAATGTTTGTCCCGTTACAGACATGCGTAACAAGGACCTCCGTTACAGACCTCCGTAACAAGATTCGTGGCGCGTCGCGCGTTACAGAGCCCTAAAAAAATCATAGCCACATACATATATACACACATATATATATATATACATATTACAAGGGATGTATGATGGGTGTGTATGCAGAAACATATGCGTAATCAGATAGGTGGCCAGCTGGACACAGACATCGAGATCTCCATCTTCAGCTTGAGCCCACAGAAATGAGGCGTTGAGGGCACTCAGAGCGCTGGAGGGTGGGCAGTTGGAAGCAAGGCGCAATAGGAAACCCACCATTTGACTTGACTAGGTCCCCCAGCTAGGCGCCCTTTCTCACCCCTTTTTTGCTCTACTAACATAGACTACAGAAAAAGGGTACCCTTGTTCTAAGCTCTCTTCTGGACCTAGTTGAAGCTTCGGAACCTGCGAATCGTCCGGTTCCAGTTTGGTTGTGTAGAGGTTTTAGTGGCTTTTAGTTGGTCCAGTGGTTGGGTTTCTGCATTTAACCCTCTGCAGGTTATTCACTTTTGGCAAGGGGTCAGTTTGAATTTCCCTCTGCATCGTCCTTTGGGCTTCCCTTCAAAACCACAAGGGGCACCCATTATTAAAAAGACAGACACAACTAAAGGGGGTTCGTGATTTTCGGGGAGAATACACCACATGCTGGTTCTGTGATGTGGGTGGCTGTGGGCGGTGTAAACGCGGATCAGTGGGAAGATGTGTGTTTTACTAGGTCCCCCAGTGCCCTTTTACCCCTTTTTTGGGGGAGGGTTCCACTACAAAAATCGATTACGGAAAAAAAGGGGTACCCCTATTCTATCCTCTCTACTGGAGGACCTAGTTTAGGCAGGCGTCTACTTGTTTTTTAATGGCAAGCTCAAGGGAGGAAAGGAGCTCATTGAAAAAGTAGGCCGTTTACTTGCTTGGATGTTCGACCAAGTTAGTAAGTGGTGATCGCCACTCGGGGTGCTTCGCCCCCTCAAAACAAGTTGTTACCCCAGTTGGGGAGACTTAGAAGTGGGTTACAACCGAAGGGTTTCCGTTATAACTTACCAACTGGGAGTATCGAACACCCAAGTAGGGATCCTACCGTGGATGGACGAAATCCTGCACCATCTAAGAAACCCACAAATGATGATTCCCTTGTAAATACCCCATGGTTTCCAAGTGGTGCAGGATTTCGTCCATCCACAGTACGTTGCAGATGTGATCAGATGATTTTCATGCTTCGCTCCCTGCGGCGAGGAGTCGAGGAGCGCTGCTTCGCGGCTGCGTAGGGCCAGCTGTACAAATTCTGTGCGCGTCCTTTGCTTCAAGCCGCCGAATCTCCAAGCGGGGCTCCGGGCTTTCCAGTCATTAACTTGACTAGGTCCCACGGGACCCAGTGCCCTACTTTTTTGGTTGGGAGGGTTCTTCTACTAAAATAGACTGGAGAAAAAAGGGTACCCTTATTCTAACCTCTCTACTGGAGGACCTAGTTGAAGGGCAGGGTGGTTTGTATAGTGACTAGTTATAATCCACTTGGGGGACTTTACAACCATGCGAGCTATGACCAGGGTTACTCACAGCTTACTGAGTATCCTACCCCTTCCAGTATTGACTTTGGGTTCGAATCCTGAGGAAGTCGCGCATTACGGATAACGAGCTCGCATGTTTGGACCGTGGCTCGCATGATGTATCAAATTTCTTCCTAGATGCTTGGGTGTTCTCCGGGCCAAGCCGCACCCTTGCTTTAACATTTTCACGGACACCCTCCGTGTTGGCGTAGAAAAACCATATTTCCAAGAGTGGTTTGCATTGAATCTACAAACAAGGGGTGGTTCGGGTTGCCATGGTTGCTAAGTGGGCTGTTCGCCCAAATGGCTGTGTTTCATTTCTTTCCGGAACAGTCAAATTGGCTGGTGTTCCTTTCAATTTTCTTTGAAAGCCAACCAACAAGTGGTCGCCCCCCACCAAAAAGAAATGGAGAAACACAAGTCCACCGACATGTTTGACCTTAGTTCGTTAGCAAGAGGCCCGCGAGCAGATCGATCGGTGGCTGCCAGGGTCCCGATCGAGTGGCAGCGCCAAGTGCTGCCTGATGCACTCGGCGGTACGAAAGCGACCGGCAATGTTATTGGTAGCCTGTTGTATTTTTGGTGAAACAATATGAAGCCTCGTTTATACCCGGAGTCTCCCTGACAAAATAATGCCATTTTTAAAGGGTCATGGAGACTCCAGGTAGTTTACGGTTGACTAAACATGAGGAATATTTTACATTTTAGGGGTGGCCAAGCATGAAACAGAAGCAGCACTCGCTAGATCCGGTGTGCCCGAGTTTTGACAAGACTTGGCAATACTTTGGACGGACGAAATCCTGCACTATTTGAAACCATGGTTGAAACCATTGTTTGTTGGTATTTACCAGGGGAATCGTATCATTCCGAATGGGTTTCTTAGGTGGTGCGAAATGGATTTCGCAATCATCCACAGCATCATTGGTCGTCTACTCTTGGTTTGGGGAGGTGTCGTTTCAGGGGACCGCCTGCATTGCTGGATCAAAGACCAGGATTAGAGCCAGGCACGGATTTTTCCCCTGTGGATTTCGATTCAGTCTGCCCAAAGCTTATACAACCCAGTGAATCCATTTACCTGGTTTCGTAGGCAACCAAGGGCTTGCCACCCTTTAACAACCAAAAGGACAATAGCTGGTTACCATCTGAGATCCCACTGGGCAAGGTTCGGTCCAAGCGTCTAGTCCCTCCCTTTCAGGTTTCCGAGTCCTCCTGATTCAAACAACACCCCCCCTTGGTGGTGTGACGTTTAGTGCGGTGTTTGGAGGGAGCTGTTGTTTCCGGCTGGTGAAGTCCCCCAAAAAAACAAGAAACAAAAACAAGTAAAACAAAAAGCAACAACAAACAGAAGCAGGAGAGTTTGCCGTGTCTATTTTCGGAGGAACGATCGCCGCAAGCCGATTTCACTCGAGGGGAGCTGGTCTTCGGCTTTTTCGCTGCTGTGTTATGCAGCCCTGGGCTTGTGGGGCGGCCCTCTGGCTCGGCTGGCGCAATCCCCCTTGCGGGAAGGCAAGAGACAGGTGAGGAAACCGCGAGTGGCAGAGAAATCCGCTCCGGGTACATGTGTGTGTGCGCGTGTTTTTCCAATATCATGTTCTTGCTGCTTGTTGAACTTTCACTCCGAGTTTCTTCACGCCATCGTTTTCTGTGAAGATCATTTGACTGAGAAGTAGACACTTTGAGCTCGTTTTGTCAAATCCACTTGCCAGCTCGTCCCAGAAACCATCCCGCCCACCAGATCAGGGCTGGTCGTTTTGCTTCCCCGCTCAGTGCGGGGTCACGCAGGTTAGACCATGGGTCGTTTTCCCCTTCTTTTTGCGGCCCATGGCAAATTGGATTTCAATCGCGGAAAAGAAGCTTGCGCTGTCAGTCTTGCTGCATGCTCGCTCGCGATGTCTCTCGCCATCTCTTGCCTTTGGAAGGGAAACACATGCGGATGGATGTTGCTCATGCCCATCCCCTTATCAAACACATCCAGGGTCCTCAAAAAGATCAAACCAGTGTGGACACTTGGCGCCCAAACCTTCCAAAGACCCGGTGAAACGTGCTTTCCAATGCAGGTGAACATCACTTGTGTGCATGAATCTAAGGTTGATTTCCCATGTTGTTTATTCTCGCTCTCTTTAGAGACCACCTCATTTTCTCCAGTTGAGCCCATTTGAGAAGGATCCGACTGATTCGACGGAGAGGGTCTGATTCTGCGGGATTGAACCGGAATGCGCAGTCCCAGAAGCAATCGGTTCCTTACTTCGTCTCTTTTCGTCGGAGAAGTGGTTGGGGCTTCCATGTAACCCAGAAACAGTTAGAAGGGCACTGCTCTCCAGAGTGACCTGGGTCCCCCAAAAAGCTGACTATCCTGAACTCCCGCAAGCTGATTCGGGCTTGCTTGGGCTTTTCCTGGAGGTCCTCGCTGATGTGCGGGGGAAGTGTTTCCCCAGATGTCGCGGTGCTGTGGATGGCTCCGATATCCGTAAAACGCAGCGCCGGACTCAGAAACCCGGGCTTCTGATTCGATTCCCCATCGTAAATACCAACAAACGTTATGGTTTCAACCATGGTTTAGTTCAAATGGTGCGAACGGATTTCGTCCAAGGGGTGGCTCATCGCTATTGGGACCTTATCACCTTTGGTTTCAATTTCGGAACCATCCACAGTAGGAGCCCTTGTATCATCAACTTCCCATTGCGCAGCGCCGTTCAGAACCCCAAAAATGAGGATTCTGTGAGCAACAAACCTTCTGGTTTCAACCTCACGGCTTCCAATTTCCCGCGGTTCATGGACGTCGGAGAAATCCACCGACCCACCGCCCGGGCCCCCGCGCTCGCGCCGAAGGCCCGGGCTTCGTCTCGGAGGAGTGGTCCCACGTCTTGGCCTGGGATCTCTTCGTGGGCCGCCGGGGAGCCCAGCGGAGGATTTTTTTCCGGGGACTTCGAGCGAGAGAGACGAGGAGTCGGGGGGGGGGGGTTCTGGGTGTCTCGAAAAATTGGTGCCGTTTCCTCGTGCCGTTTCACTTTTTTGGTGTCTACCCTTTTTTGGTAGTGCCCTTTCTCACCCAACTTTGTTGGTTGGGAGGGTTTGCCTACTAAAAATAGACTACAGAAAAAGGGGTACCCTTATTCTAACCTCTCTACTGGAGGACCTAGTTTTGTTGAGGCTATCATATACCCGGTGACCCTGTTCAACTTGTGGGTTGGCAAAATCCGGCATCAGTTGGCATGGATGAACTCCTATGAGATAGTGCACCTACGGATGTTGCCCATCCACATGTAGGGGTTCTCGAATGTCTTACCCCTTTTTTTCAGGGTCACTGAACAACTGAGACTGGCACACTCGCTCACTCCTTCTTGTTTCGTTTGGGAGCCACAAAACATGAGCCACAATCAAAACCCGGGCAATTGGAGGGTAGTAAGGGACAATCCCAGCCACAAATAGCTGCGGCCGCCTTCTTAATTCTTTACATGGTTCTGGGTCGACCATTCTTGTACCAGGTTTTGATTATGACTCACATGGAGTCAACGTCTTTTGCTACCAGGGCCCCCTCTCCGGCCATGAGCCCAGTTAGGTTACAAGCTTGCAGTCGACATCTTCCGGACCTGCTTGGGTGTTCAACCTACTCGGTAAGTATATGGGTGTTTGGTTTTAGACCACCCCCCCTCCTACATAAATAAACCAATA